GACAGATGCAAATATGTGTGGGCATCTTTTCATGGTCCCATCTCCTCGTGGTGGGAGGACAGAGCCTGGCACACTGTGTTGCTCTGCATCCAGTCATGCCAAAGACCTCTGGTGAGAGTCTGAGCAATTTGCTTAGCCATTGCTCCTCTTCTGAAAGCAACTTACTTCTGGGCTTTTAAAATATGCTACACGCTACATACAAACAAGGCATGAGGCAACTTGGGTGTTTTGGGCTTATTGTACTTGAAGTAGTTCATCTCCTTGTTTTGGGGTACAAACTATCATCTTTAAAGACAGAGACACTCCTCTGAGCTCCAGGGGTGGAAACCACCAACGTAACATAGTAGAATATAATTTGAGACTTTTTTTTTCCTGGGGATTTTCCAGGTTTTGTTCTGGATTTCTAGTTTTTTTCTTAATGCCTTTTTGGGGGAAGCTATCTAATACAGCCAAGACAGCTTTCACAAAAGTAGATCATGTTTCCTGAGAGACATCATTCAGCAGGATGCCCAATGCAGCTCTAGGGATTCATTTAGGAAAGTTCATGACATTCCCACCCATATCAGTAGAAGTCACATCCAGATGAAAAGGGGAGAACTGAGATGTTTAGTGTTGGACTAGTTGCTCCCAACACGCAGAGTGAAAAGTTAGTCTAGGCCTGTTAAAATGTCTCTCCCTAAGAAGTAATGAGACTGCTATATGGTGGTTATCGATGGCTGGATTACTGCCTTCTGTGTTCTAGCTGTATAAAGTATCTGCCTGTCACTCACAGTCAAAGGGAGAGTGAACGAGGTACCGTTTACGTAGTGCTAGAGCTGAGATTGCACAAAATGGAGAGCGCATTTCAACACAGCACCTACATAGGCTCACAGGAGTCCACATGCAACACAAAGATCAGTGGGATGATACAGGTGCTAGTAAGTACCACAGAGAAACATCACTCCTTTGGCTCAAACTCATTCAAACAAGCAGAAAAATGAAGTTTACACAGTCTCTATCGGCTTCAATGTGCATGTTGGCACTTGTGACGGTGCTTGGGAAAAGCCAGTTTCAGCTATTTTGGCTGGCATTTGAGCAAACCATCAACACCTTTAAGGACCACAACCCAAGACGGTTCTTTCAACAGAAAATTAGAAGTGAGTCTGCTTCTGTTGTTTTGTAAAACAAGCAGGGAAGCAGGTGCATGAGGATGTTCTCAGAGGTCCTTTAGCAGGGCTCACAAATACCACTGTGGTTCCTGGGTCTCTTTGTTCCAGCCTGTTGTCTTTCCTTCAGTTTCCTGGTTCACAGCAAAAGCACAGAACAGCACCTCTCTCCTGTCTTCGTGACAAAATGAAGTGTTAAGTGACTGGCTTGCAGTGCTTATCCTGCAACTCCGCACCATGTGTCAGTCTAGCTTAAACACTGGCTGGTTCTGTCTATAGCTGTTCTCTCTTCATGCGTGTGAAATGCTGGGGAGCATTACAAAAAGTACCAACAACTGACAGACACAAGGTCCTGGTAACAGAATTTAGACTTAAAAGTGTTTCACCTATGCAAAACTAATTCAGAAATTATTTAAACATCAGATTCCTTGCTTGTGCGAGATCTCTTATAAGTGGCTGTAATTAGACTAGAAGTGCTGAACAAGCAACCCAAAGCATTGTCATTTTTGTCAGTGACCTGGACAGTGGAATCAAGTGCACCCTCAGCGACTTTGCCGACAACACCTAGCTGAGTGGTGAAGTTGACATGCTGGAGGGAAGGGATGCCATCCAGAGGGACATGGACAGGCTTGAGATGTGGGTCTGTGTGAGCCTCATAAAGTTCAATAAGGCCTAGACAGTTGGTTAAAAAATGGTGCCAATAACATCAAGCTTGTGGGTTTGATCCCTGTATAGGACATTCATTTAAGAGTTGGACTTGATGATCCTTGTGGATCCCTTCCAACTCAGAATATTCTGTGATTCTGGGAAGTGCAAGGTCCTGCACACAGGTTAGGGCAATCTCAAGGACAAACACAGGCTAGAAAAGAATGGATGGAGAGCAGCCCTGAGGAGAAAGACTGAGGGGAGTTGTTTGATGAGAAGCTCAGCACGACCCACCAGTGTGAGCTTGCAGCCCAAAAAGCCAATTGTATCTTGGGCTGCACCAAAAGCAGCATGGCCAGCATGTCAAGGGAGGTGATTCTGCCCCTCTACTCTGCTCTTGTGAGACCCCATCTGGAGTGCTGCGTTCAGCTCTGGGGACATAAGAAAGACATGGATCTTTTGGACCAAGTCCAGAGCAGGGCCACAGAGATGATCAGAGGGCTGGAGCATCTCTCTTAAGAAGATAGGCTGAGAGAGGTGAGCTATTCTACCTGAAGAAGAAAAGGTTCTGGAGGGACCTTATAGCATCTTGCAGTACCTAAAGAGGTACTGCAAGAGAGCTGGAGAGGGACGGGCTTAAGCTCTGTCAGGGGAGGTTTAGGTTGGATATTAGGAAGAAGTTCTTTACAGAAAGAGTGATCAGGCATTGGAATGGCCTGCCCAGAGAGGTGGTGGATTCACTGTCCCTGGAGGTTTTTAAGACGAGGTTGGATGTGGCACTGAGTGCCATGATCTAGTAATCACAGTGGGGTTGGATCAAGGGTTGGACTTGATGATCTCGGAGGTCTCTTCTAACACAGTTAATTCTATGATTTTTATTTTTTATTTCTATAAGGTCTTGTAGTAAGAGGACAAGGGGAGAATGGCTTTGAACTAAAAGAGGAGAGGGTTAGATTAAATCTTAGGAAGAAAGTGGGAGGATGGTAAGGCACTGAAACGGATTGCCCAGAGAAGCTGTGGATGCTCCACCCCTGGAAGTGTTCAAGGCCAGGTTGGGTGGGACTCTAAACAACTTCATCTCATGAAAGGTACCCCTTCTCAGGGCAGTGAGGTTGGAACTAGATGATCTTTAAGATCCCTTCCAACCCAACCCATTCCATGAGTCTATGAAATTGGGTGGCAGCACCATTGGAGGAAGAGGGACCCCATCACTAGGAAAGAATGACAGTCATGGGACATTGCTGAACTGTAGAGTGAGGAAAGGACACAAGGGTAGGGAGGGGACATTGCTGTTGTGTCATTTCCACTGGCAGTGGAGAGTTACTTCCACAGATGTAATGTATACATGTAATAGTGTTCGAAAACATTTCTACTGGTTGCTGCATGGTTCAATGCTTTGCTACATACAATCAACTCCTGTTGAATCTCTGCCTGAGATATCCTGTGGGTTATGTCACCTTCTCTCTCATGTCCAAGTCTCACCTTTGAACTTCATTTTACCTCTGATGTTTTATTTCAGTAAAGGAAGCAGGCATATTTTGTTTCAGAAAATATAATGTTGTTTTCTTGTACTTTCATTTCAGCAAACTATGTGCAAGTGGTCAAATCCTCTGGATTCCAGAAAACTGATTCCCGTAGCACCACGTTCCACCCAGTTGACTTGAAGTAGAATCAATTAATCTGTCAACAGTTCTTAAACCATCACAAAGTTACCACACCAGTTAATGAGAGAGAGGGGGAAACAAAAATATAATAACACCAAAAATACAATGAAGACAGCTTCCCATTTTCGCTCAGCTTGGTGAAGCAGATAGGAATCTGAATTTCTAAAACAATTTTCTATCTTTTCCTCCATGGTGCTACTAGTAGTTATTGTGTTGAAATAATCTCCTCCTTTTCTTGCCGCTCACTCTCAAAAACATTAGAACATAGGAAGTTCAAACTAATGTTAAGAATTGTAGCTTAAAACAAGACTTCCCTGTCAAAAGTACTCTCTGACTCAGACACTAAATATGCAATTTTTATTAACCATGCCTTCTGCAGACACTGGAGTGGGCAGGTTACAAAGGACCGTGAAGAAAGTTCATTATTATTTTCGTAATAGAAATACTAATGTTTTAGAATACATACAGCATTCAAAGTTTCTCCCCTGTATCTGTATTAGCATTTCAATAAATTGCTTACTATAAATAACAATAGTAATAATAAAACAAATGCTAGGGGCAAAAAAAAAATCCCTCAGGTTTCATTACAGCTGTGAATACCAGAGGTGGGAATTTACATACAAATGCTAACCACACAGCAGCTTAGCTAGCAGCTTTATTTCAGAGAATCATAGGATCACAGAATGGTTTGGGTTGGAAAGGGATCTTTAAGATAATCTAGTTCTAACCCCCACGCCATGGACAGGGACACCTTCCACTAGATCAGGTTGCTGAAGAACCCCACCCAACCTGGCCTTGAACACCTCCAGGCATGGGGCATCCACAGCTTCCCTGGGCCCCCTGTTTCGGTGCCTTACCACGCTCATGGTAAAGATTTTTTTTCCCAATATCTAATCTAAATCTGCCATCTTTCAGTTTGAACCCATTCCCCCTTGTCCTCTCATTACATGCTCTTGTACATAGTCTTGTCCCATCTTTCTTGTAGGCTCCCTTCAGGTACCGGAAGGCCACAATTAGGTCACCCCAAAGCCTTCTCTTTCCCAGGCTGAACAATCCCAATTCTTTTAGGCTTTCCTCGCAGGAGAGGTGCTCCGTCCCTCCAATCATCTTGGTGGCCCTCCTCTGGACTTGCTCCAACAGGTCGATGTCCTTCATGTGTTGAGGACGCCAGAGCTGGATGCAGTACTCTAGGTGGTGTCTCACCAGAGCACAAATTCTATATTTAATATATAATTTATCATTACCATTAACAGTAACGATAGTAAAGACAGCCTGAAAACCATCTCGCGTACCACGGTGCCACCTTCAGGGAGCCCGTGACGTGGCTCTCCTCGTCCATGCTCAGCTCGCATCGCGTTGTGCACCGCTCGCTCCCCCGCAGCGGTGGGGCCCGTCCCCGCTTTTCCCGCGGCGGGGTTCACCCCACCTTCCCCCGTCCCCCCGCTCCGGCTGGGATACCCCCCCCCGGCGCCCCGCCTGCCGCGCCCCGTGTGACCGCGGCGAGCGGGGCGTTGCCGGCGGCGGGTCCCGCCCCGGCCGTCGCCCCGGCGACGGGGCAGAGCGGCCCGGCCGGGAGAGGCGGCGGGCGGGCCGGGGGGCTCGGCGGGGACCGCCCGGTGGCACCGCCCGCAGCGCCGCGGTGAGTGGGCGGCCGCGCTCTGGGGGCGGCGGGGAGGGTCGGAGAGAGGTGGGTCTCCTCGTCAGCCGGGGGCTGGGCCGTCTTGGGGGTCCTCCCCAGGATGAAGGAGGTGCCGGGTTAAGCTGGGGCGGGAACAGCCTCGGTGGGGGCTGTCATCCATCCCCTGAAGAGGAGGACGGCTGCTCCCGACCCCCAGGCTGGTTTGGGGTGGGCCGGCTCGCTGGTGGGCTTAACTCGCGTGTGTAGGGAGCTGCCCTGCTGTAGTGCTGGGGCTGGGACAGACGGCGCTGCTTGGGTGTGCAGCCTGCAGAGGCAGGGATCCTGCCTGGTTTGGCTTCAGTAGGTCAGGTCCGGGCCTTTTGATGGCCTGAAATGCCCAGGGGTTAATGAAAGGAGGTGAATTTTTGTTTGGGAGAAGCGGGGTGAAACTTGCAGGCCAGTGGTGCTGAGTTGCGTGGTCGGAGTGAGCGTGAGGAGTGCTGTGCTCCCCTTCCTGCTGTGAGCGTGTGTAAATGCTCTCTTGGGAGGTGACTGGACGTCATCAGGTGCAACTAAAGTGGAAAAAGGCACTTGTTTCCATTCTCAAGACTGAGGGGGGGATCTCATTAATGCATATAAATATCTCAAAGGCAGGTGCTGAGCGGATGGTGCCAGACTTTTTGGTGGTGCCCAGTGACAGGATGAGGAGCAATGGCCATAAACTAAAGCACAGGAATTTCACCTCAACATGAGGCAGAACTTCTTTACGTTGAGGGTTGCAGAGCACTGGAACAGGCTGCCAATGGAAGTCGTGGAGGCTCCCTCTCTGGAGATATTCCAAACCCACCTGGACATGCTCCTTTGTAACCTGCTCTAGGTGATCCTGCCTTGGCAGGGCTGTTGGATTAGATGATCTTCAGAGGTCCCTTCCAACCTTAACAATTGTGTGACTCTGTGATTTATTGAAACTTACAGTGGTGTGTAGATGCTGAAAGATGAGTAGTTCATGTTCCTTCTGGCCACTGTGCAAGGCTGGAGACTTCAAGGTCCAGCAGCACTGAAACCATTGCTGTCCTGAAATTTGTTGTACTGCTTACTGCATCACGGGAAGAGGTTTCATGGGGGTGGGAAAAGGTAGCCTTGCTGGCATGGATGAAACATCCTGACAAAGTTGTTGTGAATCATTTTGGTTTGAAACCAAAGCTGGTTTGGAAGAAAAGGTAAAATACTCAGAGCAAACTTGAATTCTTCCTTTTTGATGTGCCCTATCCTAAAGGCCTGATTCACACAAATGAAACAATATACTAGACTTTTGAATAGACTTTTAAAAAAATTTATTTAAGACAGTCTATTTAAAAGTACAAGTATTTACTGTCAATACTATTGACTTCTTTCTTGCAGCTGAGAGTCAGGCTTTTAAATAACTGCTGGTCTTTGATTAGAGTAATGGATTTGGGGTTAATCTCTAGAACTGGAACCATCTGTCATGGGATCTGATTGCTGTCAGCTTTAGTAATATACAGTCACTACCAAGAAGGTTCATGTAGCAACAAATTGTTTGTTGTTAGTGGTTGAGTTTAGGTTTTCTTGTTTTACTTTTAAAATTTGTATCAGCATACATTCTGTAATGTGCAGCACTGCCAGTTTTGATCATCGAGAATAGTACTATCCTCAGCGAACAGTTTTGGTGATTTCAGGATTACTGTAACAGGTTGGTGAAATTGAGTCGTGGATGTTCTGCTTATCTGTGTAGAAAGGTCTTTGTTGAGTCATATATCCTAGTTTCTATTTATTTGAGAGTAGCCTGTTTAGCAGGCAACTGTGAAATAGTTGGTAATGCGTAGCACTTGTACAGAAGAAATGCAGCTGATTTGCTGCTATTCATTGCATTTTGAAATGTAATGAAGACAAATAAAACAATTTAAAGTTGTTGCTAGTGCTTAAAGCACCATTAATATAGTAAAAGTTTTGCTTAAATCACTTAGTATTTGTTCAGATCCTCTAAATTTACACAAATTATAGATTCTGTCAAGCTATTGTATTTTGTCCTCTAGTTGTCCCTTGCTTTAATCCTTCCTTAATCCTATGTGAAGAGATTATGCACAGTGTGTCATTAAGAGTATAAAACAAGCTGTTGTTTAGAGCAGGATTTCTCTTTCCAGTTTGGTAGCTGACTATTATGGAAATTTTACATTTTAGAGCTTCATATCATTGGGGAAATAATAGTATATAAGCGTTAGAATGGCAAAGGCCACTTCAGAGGCTTGTGTTAACCAGAAAAGATAGATTGAGCCCTTGCTTTTCCTCAGGTCAGTAAAAAAGAGAAAACCGAAGTGCAGATTTGAAAAAGACAATATAGAGAGACCACTGAGAAAAAAATTTTCACCTAAGCTGGGTACACGTGGTTTAAAGTGCAAAGTATGCAAAAGTCCATAGTGAAATGTGAATCTCTAGAGCATTTAGGTTCTAACTCATTGTGCTCTGTAACTCCAGTAAAAGTGAAAGAAGCCCCTGACCCTGATATCAGATCAGGCTGAAAAATGCAAGTGCTTGGCAGCCCCATTTGTTTGTTCTAAGATGGGTGGGTGGTGGCAGTAAGTTTTGCAGGACCCAGTGCTGCCTTTTTTTGGTCAGCAAACCTCTGTCACCCTCCAGCATTTCCTACAGACTACAGTGTGCCCTACCATTGCTGTAAAATTGACCACTTAGTGTCCAAAGAACGCTGTCAGGTTTTTTAGATACATGTGTATGACGGATGTATTCTCTTAAAAGCTGGAAAAGAGCTTATAGTCAAGTGTGATCCTGCAGTCGATTTTTTCCCCCTGCATTTGGCTAGTTTTCATTTGATGATGTCTCACTATAAGAGTTCCATTGTTTGCCTCTTTTTTGTAAACTGTAAGTGCCAAGACAACTCTTTAATGAGAGTCATTAGTGGAATGGCCTAGCATGCATCAGCTGTGGAGGCAGGTAAGACAATACATAAACATTGTTACCAGGGTACATAGTTTTCACACCTTGTTTTGTGAATTTCCATAAGGTAGATTTGACACTTCCATTTGATTATTGAAGGAATGTGTTGACTTTTCTATACTTTACTTGATTAAGTGTTTTTGTGCCCTATAAATTACAATATACAGGAGAAGAGGAATAAGGAAATAAAATATATTACAGAACAGACAAAATGCACAATTGGGTCTGTGATGTATTATATGACAAAGAACTTCTGGAGGGGAGAATTACTTTATGTGATGTCGTTTCAAGGGCATATACCAAAATATTAGAATTGTACAAAAGGAATAATTATAAAAGCATGGGATTAATATACACTCTAAAGAAAATTACTTGGAAAGTTGGTAGGATTTAGGCACCAAAATTAGAGACCTTAAAGGTCAAAACTTGAGATTTGTGTCTAGGTCTTGGTCTGTTTATTGCAAATACAGAGGTTTTCATCTTGGTTTTTTTTTTTTTTTTTTTAGTTTGCTTTGTTAGAGAGGAAAAGGTTGAAAATTAAATGTGTGCAAATTCTCCAGATTTTTAATGTAACTTCAGGAGTTCAAGCTAGGGCCATCTTTGGCAGATTTTGCAAACTCCCCTCCAAGAAACATGCCTTAAGCAATGTACAATGATATTTGTTGAAACAGAGAAACACAGGCACCCAAAACTTATTACATTTAAGTTTACTTCATGTTATATGCCTATGTATACCTATTCACAAAATGCATACACAGTTTAGCACTGATGATGCTTTAAATGTGATGCTGTGTTTTAAAATGGGTATAAAAATACCTTCAGAATGTTTTTATGTTGATTTGGTTTTTTAATATATACGTAAAATCAACAATTGACAACTTGGAAGACGTATGTGCAGAATGTATCTTGGAGTAAACACTTGATCATCTGCTTATTACTGGAGTAAAAAAGTAACCTTGTTGAAGAAATGGCAGTATTGAAGGTATTAAAGACTAGAGTGTGTGCAGGCATTTTGGAGAATGAGATATAAAGCTGAACTCTGATAAAAAACCAATAGGTTTCAATATATGAAAGTCCAATTTAAAATCCAGTTACAACTTGAGATGTCTATGATTGCTACTTTTTGTTAAGTCAGATTTTTAGCTTTGTTTCAGAATATGCTATTTATAACCAGAAATCATATTTTACTATAGCGATGGCTTTGGAGGGGAGGGGTAGAGGGGTGTGTATAAAAACATCATTGTAGTTTTCAATGCCAAAGTGGTGGTTGTCTGGTGCAAAGATTATAGACTGTGACTAGGTCACTTCTACATCTACTAGGTCACTTGTTACTGGCATCTTGACAGCTGATGTGAGATTCCTTCCTGGTAACACAAGGAATAAGGAGTAACACTGTGTGTTACAACTGCTCTGAGGAAGCAGCATTTCAACTAATAGTAGCTTAGAAACATTGCTCTATTGTCCAGGCAGATGTTTCCCTTGCAGAGCAGGCTAGTCTAGTTGAGAATGCGTTGTTCACACTCGAGAGAGACCAGTTTTACTGTTAAATTTTGCCAGGCCTGTAAATCTCAGGCCTGAGGCTTGTTATCAGCTGAATTTGAGTTCCTTAATCTGTTTGGACAAGCCAGCCTGTAGCTAATTCTGGCATAAGGCTAAGGAGTACAGAGTTGCACGCTGAATTCTGCGTCTCCTATAAAGGTAGGCTGACCCTGTGCTTTGTTGACTTGAACTATATTTTGTATTTTCAGACAGCAGAGGCAAAAGGTAGAGATAATGCTGTTACTTGGTTAGCATTCAGTGGTTTGTTTGTGTATTGGCATTTAGGTTATGGTGAGTAAGTGGTACAGTGATAGGTTGTTAGTTTTTCCTAGACCTGCCTAAAAAAGTGGATGACTATTGTGAGTTTGCCTGAGTGCCTTAACGTCAGATTTTTAGGATTGTGTCCAAAGTGCAACCAGTGCTTGGTTGGAATTTAGGATTTGTGCATAGGACCTATGGCAACTGGCCTTCATCTGACGCATTGGTGATGGTATTGCGTATAATGAAAGCTGCTGTTCAGATTCAAGTTTGGATCAGGATTCAAATTACGATTTAAGTATATTCAAAGATGATGATTCAGCGTTGCTCAGTGTGAATACTTTTCTGAATGACAACTCGGATTTAGTCTCTCATACCCATGCATGTGAACTCTATACTTCTCTCTGCAGGCCTTGTAAAACTGAAGAATAAACTTAACTCTTGAGCAATTACTGTGTCTAAGAATTATGGAAACTTCAGAGCAAGATATCCAAGTAAATTTATAGCAATTCGGTTTACCTTAGTGAAGAATGAAGTGGTTATCTTGTTGCTTACCTCCTTTCCTCATTCACTTTTTCAGCACAGAAATCCTGCTTTCACTACCAGTCCAAAATAGTGTTGAGACCCCAGGTTTACAATGGCACCCTGTGCAAAATTTGGGTTCTTATGTTATCCAAAGTTCAAACTGTGCTTTTGTTACAGATCAGGAAGCTGCTACTGTCTGCAAATTCAGAGTAAGGAGTTCCATCAGAATACACCAGCCTAAAACACACTTTTCTTGTTCTAGAGAATTATGACAGTAATCTTAGCTCTCCAGTCGCTGCTTACTCTAACCCTAATCTTACAGTAGGCACCTTCTGTGGTTTGAAGGATTTAAAGGTACTAGTGACAATCAAGTGTTCTATTTAAAGAACATATCCAGTTCTGGAGGGGTAGTTTGATACAAATAGTAGCGTCTCTTTTCTAAAATCCTGGAAAATTATGTAGTTTACTCTTTTTTTTTTTTTTTTTATTTTAAGGCTCTATGTGAGAATGACCATGTTCTTGTGTCTCTTATACTTCATATCTGGATCTCAAAGTAACTGAAGTTTGAGGGAGACCAGTGAATATCCTGCTATGTTATGAGAAGCATTCACCAACATAAAGTGGTCTGGAAGAAGATTTCTCTGAAGAAAATCAAAGAGCATAGAATCCTTTAATAAAGCAGAAGACATTGAGAATTTCATAAGCTTTCAGCTCTCTGAGTCTTAAAAGAAATGAACCGTTACACAATTATGAAACAACTAGGTGATGGCACCTATGGCAGTGTGTTGATGGGGAAGAGCAACGAGTCAGGAGAACTTGTGGCTATCAAAAGGTATGTAGCATCTCAATTCAGTAAAGGTACTTGCAAAGTCTTAAAGATTTTCACTTTTAACTTTATTGTTGTCTTTCATTTGTGTAGGTTAGAAAAAATGTCCCTTTTTAAAAGGAACTTAACAAAATTATTTTTTTTAATTAAGATGTTTAATAAGATGCTTGTGGGTCACACTTCAGTTAACAGATCAATAGAGAGACACATTAGCTTAAGTTACTGATTTATCTTGGCTTATAAGATTGCATGCTGCTTTTGTTCAGTTTGAATATCCTTTCTTCTAAGAATGTTGTTAGGCTAACACCAAAGGAGAAGCAAAACTGAATGTGCAGTTGCTTAATTAGGGAGTTTATTTATATGACTTGTGAGAATACCAATCTTAATGGGTAGATTTAAAATACCTTCCCACCCCCCAGTCTCTGCAAATATTGCATTAAGTTTCATGTGTTGCTACAGTGATAAATAACAGCAACAATCTGGTCAGGTAAATAAAGGCTGTCTCCTTGGATCTAATACAGTTGTGTTATGTGTAATCATGAGCTTTGTCATACTTGCCTCAAAAGATGATTCCAAAACAACAAAAGATTTATTAGAGGAATGGGGAAGTTCCCCTCGAAATTCCTAGGGAATTGCAAGCAGAATATAAAGCATAAATTGAAATACCAGAAATTGTATCTTGCTGAGACTCTTTTCTCTCATTCATGAATGTACTGCACTAAGTTAATGGTAATATAATTGATTGACTTGCTTTTTAAGAATTTCTGAGAATTTCAGGTTTCTCCATATCTTGCTAGTATGTTTAAAACTGAGGTCAAAATACAGGTAATGCTGCACTTAGGAAATAACATGTTTGATTTTTTTATTCTAAAAGCATTCTGTACTGTTCACTGAAAATACTCTATCTCGGAATTGTATTTCAGAATGAAAAGAAAGTTCTATTCATGGGATGAATGTATGAATTTGAGAGAAGTCAAGGTAAAGTTGTGAACAGATCATGTTTAAAAATAAGTATCTTGCTAGGCTTGCATGAAGGAAAACGGCAGCTACAATGTCCAAGCATAAGACCAAACTCTTTAAATGCTGACAGATTTCACAAAACCATGGGCTGCTCTTACTTTTAGAAGTCCTGCTGCTTTGTGGAATACCCCACTATTCTCAAGCAGTGACCATGTCTCATAGCCAAGCCTCTTGTCTTTGAGAGAAGATAAAGAAATTGATTTTGTGTGTGTGTATCTCTGTGGTTGACTATCCTGCTCTTTCATTTTATTTGCAGATTTCTAGTTATATATCCATTGTTTATATGTTGTGTTTGGGGCATTTGTAGAAAGCACTGGGATTTTTGGCTAACCACATGATAGAATAACACTTGAAATCCTGAGCTTAAATTCTATGTTTTGGGCATCTGGGCATTTTCTGTATATACAAAACTCTCTAACAAAGGAGTTTAGATTTAACTTATTGAAGGTTTCACATAATCAGTATATCCAAAAAGTACATCTAAAAAAAAAATCCTTATTCATTAAAGTTTCATGCCAAAAAGAAAAAAAAAAGGATGCTGTGTTTTCTTATTTAGTTCAGTGAGCAAGAGCTGTTACAGGTTCAGATCTGTCTTTCATTGTAAGGAATTAGGTTTTTATGCTAATCTTCACTCTAGCTCTGATGTAATCCCTATAAATAGATTTAAACCACTATTAATATAGTTGTTTGTTGTATTTTGAAATTAAACTACTATTTTGTTGTTCTTTGAAACAGACATTACCAGATAAATAACAGAGTATCAGATGAACATATTTTGTGTATTCTGTGCTAGAAATTTACATGTTAAAAATTTAGTTCTGATAAGGAATCAAGGTCACTGTGGAGTTATCTGAAGCCATATTTTGCTCTGTTACAGTCTCTGAAGAAGCTAAACCATGCCAATGTAATAAAATTGAAAGAAGTCATAAGAGAAAACGACCACCTTTACTTTGTATTTGAATATATGAAGGAAAATCTCTATCAGTTAATGAAGGATAGGTATGTCTTTTTTCACAGAACAAGTAATGTGCTGTCATGCTTTATTTAATGATTCTCATACTACCTTGAAGACCACATTGGAATTTCTGGTTTTGGCTCTTCTTGCAGCCCTATTGATGTGAACAGAAGTTGCTGCACCTGCTTATCTGAGGGTAGAATTCTGCATTGCTCTGTGTTACAAGATTGTTTATTTTAATGCTTTTGGAAATAAGTTTGATCAGTTGTTAACATGGTAGTGTGCATGCCTTTGTGTAGACCTGTGAGAGAAATTACAAATACTTTTTTTTTTTCTTTAATAGCCTTCACTTTAATGTATGAATGATTGGATAAGCACTGTTTGTTCTACTTTTGCTCATGGGTTTGGCTTAATGTGGGGATGCTCATGTGCATGTACATGCATGCATGCTCATAAAACCAACCTGTATATGGGCTAACACTGATGTTGCAATCTTGGACGAACAGTACATAGCAAGACTCGCAAGGTGGACTTTGGAACAAGACCTGCCTGTTTTTCTTTGCTGAATGCTTTTGCCTGTAATTTGTGTGTTTCCTTCAGACTTTGTCATGCACTTTTACCTCCTAATGTGCCAAGCTCTTGGGCTGACGTCCTGGGATAGCTGCTTGCGATATTAGCACAAGAGTTACTTTGCAGCTGAGCAGCACTGCTCTCAGTCAGGGTTCCCTTAAGGGTACCACTGGGTGACACCCCTACCACAGTTCTCACTGTGCCAAGTCTGCCTTGCTACATTATTGTTCATTCCATGTTCACCTGGTCAAGCACACTGCTGGCCAGCCAGCTTCTACAGAGAGATAGGACCATGAACCTCTCAGCTGAGAAGTTCCTCTGCAGCACTTACAGTGCTTACTTCTTTGTGCAGAAGACTTGATGGGTCTGTTTTCATCGGTTCATGATGTGTCAGACAAAATGAAGAAGCAGGTGTGTTCTGAAGATACATTATTTTTCCTTGATTATGTGAAGTTGTTACTCTGTTTCTTCACAGAAACAAGTTGTTCCCCGAGTCAGTCATCAGAAATATGATGTATCAGATATTGCAAGGACTGGCTTTCGTCCACAAACACGGTAGGTTTCATACTAGAGTTTAACTGTGTTGCACTTTTTTTGGAAAAGAAGATCGTGCATAGAAATAACATGAATAAAAATATCTAGCAAAGGCTATTAATTATCTCTAATAAAATATTCTTACCTGTTTCAAGTATAGTGCAGTTTTAAACCATGCCTCAAGTTACTCTTTGTTTTCCTGTAATTGTATGAACAACATCCAATGCTTTCCAAAAGAAAGAGGAAAATCCAATGTTCAGTAGTTCTTTCTGCCTTATCTACCAGATGAATAAACAAACTATAGAAACTTGTATGCTGTGCTATACTAAACACTTCTGCTTCCTCAAAAAGATCTAATCAAGGAGCATTGATACATCAATACTTTTGTGTTGCGATACTATAACTAATATGACACCCTACATATAAAAAAAATTAATATAACTTGTTCATTGAGAAATTCAAACAATCTCCTTATCAAATACAATCTGAATTTAAATATTTTAATAGACGGGATGTTTCTAGGAATTACAGGCACAGTCTAAATAAGAGGTGCAGTGTGCTCACAACAATAGAAAGTTTCATACAGTTTGCAAAACTCTTAATTAGCTGAAAATGAAATACGAAACAATGTTCCTAGTGAAGTCTGATTGACTTTCATGTACCCTGATAAGGCCTGTTAATGAATTCAAATAAATAATTAGTTCTGTTCAGTATTATCAAATTTAATGGCCAGTCATACCCAGAAATTGCCATTTTCTTGTCTTTCTGATCAAGATCATATACTGTTCTCTGATTGTTAGCATCCTGCTTTCCTTCCCCATTTCTCCATGAAATAAATGAGAAAATGAGATTTTAAGAAAAACTTCAAATTTTAAGGTACAATATTAATATTTTGATTTGACCGTGTTTGGGAATGAGAGGTATGATAAATTTGAATATTTACATTTCATTGTAATAGTTTCAGCCAACTTTTTAGAGTGGTTTTAAATTTGTGCGTGCAGAAATTGAATGCCTTATTCTAGCAAGTGAATTTCCAACAAATTAATGTGTAATATAACAAACTGTGTGTTCCAATTAATTAGCAGAATTGATTTGCTTAGCGACTTAACCGGTGCCCAGGTACAGAGGTGCTCAAGCCAACAGAAAGCACTGAAGAAACTTTATGTGTCTGCATTACTAGTAATTAGTATTCCTGAGCAGAATCTGGATATCTTTTATATGTCTGTATCTCAGCGTTGTTTTCAGAATGATAAATAACTAGTTAAAAAAAAATCATTCAAGCAATTTTATGAATCAAGTAAGTGTGTCAGATGCTTAATTTTTCCATTATCCAAAACTGAAAAACAGTTGTAGTTTTTGCAAAAGGTTTCGTTCTGCAATTGGTTTGCTATATGATGTGGCTGCAATAGCAAATTCATTTTCCTTAGTGTGCTCATGGCTGTTTACATTTGTTAATTTAAGAACAGTTGGTGTAATAATCACTGGAGGGAAAATGTGTGCACTTCTTGGGGGAGGGCTACAATTTTTGTATGTTGAATTTATATTAAATAAATAAATTAAATAAATAAAAAGACAGGAAAAGACTATATTCTTCTAAAACATCCCAAACTAAATATTGGATTATTCTCTTATAAGTTGCTGCTTAAGAAGTGATTACATGATGATTTGCCATTCTTGGTCTATAGGATTTTTTCATAGAGATATGAAGCCTGAAAACCTTCTCTGTATTGGACCAGAACTTGTGAAAATAGCAGATTTTGGTTTGGCTAGAGAACTAAGATCTCAGCCACCTTATACAGATTATGTTTCTACCAGGTGGTAAGTATACTAAGAATTTAATACATTAGCTTAACTAATTACCTTTCTATTACCACTTTAATTTACCTGTTATTTCCTTCCATCCTCATAGGTACCGTGCTCCTGAAGTTTTGCTGAGATCATCTATCTATAGCTCACCTATTGATATGTGGGCAGTTGGCAGCATAATGGCTGAGTTATACACACTAAGACCTCTTTTCCCAGGCACAAGTGAAGTAGATGAAATCTTCAAAATTTGCCAAGTACTGGGGACTCCAAAGAAGGTAAGACTTAAAAATACTCTTACAGTTGTATTTTTAAAACAAACAAATTTTTACAAAACACTGTGTTATCTATATTTCAGAACATATATATTAAATTATTGTTTTAGTAAGTTTCCTGAGGCTTAAGGTTTTCTCAACCGTATTTCATTTAAGCTTCCATTATGGCATGTAATGCTAGTTCTTTGTTGTATATTAGCACCTGCTGTGTTTCATAGCATTATGTGTAGCCTTGTTTTCCTCTGATGAAAGCCAGATAAAATTGTTTAATTTAGTTATTTAAAGCTATTCATATTGGAAAGCAAATCAGAAGTCTCCCAGGATTTCATTTGTCACAGCCAATTTGGTTTCCCTTCCTGAAAGTGCAGTTTTTCTGTGGTGGCACCCAGAATTTAGAGCTAGTAGAAGATACCATAATTAAGACAAATTATGCTTTTCTTCTTTTTAAAGCATAGAAGAAACATTTGATCTCAAACATAGATATCTCATAAGCATTATTAGCAGTAAGAAGTAATGGAGGGAAAATGGGCAGTCTTTTAGAGAGGAAACAATTTTTTTCAGTTACTTTCTGGATGGGATAAATACAAGGAAGGTTTGGTTAGTGCATATAAAAATGGATGCAATTGTATCTACTACAGTTTAAAAGTTCATTTAGCAAATGGGTATGTGAACATGCAAGAAAAGAATAAGCTTACCTTCAAATTTTTGAATAAACTGAAAAAAACCCCACATACTATTAAATAATTTTGGTGACTAAGGTAAGAAATGGCAGATGTCTGTCAGTAGTTTGTGGATACAAACAGAGCTTGGTGACATAACTGACTGAACACAGAGTCTCTAGATCTGGAAAAACCTAAGGGTGGGAGAGAAAAATCAGTTTCATTAATGTTCTACTGATGTGAAATATAGTATACTTCCTGTCCAATAATGGAGCTGTTATCGATAGAGAAGTAAGGAAGTGAAAACTTAAAACAGAAATAGGTTAAGCTTAGCTAGGAACATGAAGAGAACATGAAGAGCTTGAAAGTGGTGGGAAGACATCCAAGAGAACATACTGAGAAACAGGTGCAAACTCGTGACAGAGTAGAGGGTAAAAGGTCAAGTGGAGAGTTATAGATGGTATGTTGTGGAAGAGAAACTTGACTCTAGAAGACTAAGTGAAAATTGGTATGATGTGTAGAACAGTGCTTGCCATGACACAGTTATGCATCAAAATAATGCGCAATATGAGCAGTATTTTAAGACTTGTGTTTTCAAATACAGATGTGAAGTTTCTTAAGCAGATCACAAGTCTAGGATACTAAGAAGAACATTTTGATGTATGTTAAGAATATCTGTGAAAGAGAGCAATGTGCTAGCTTCCGGAACCTTTTCCATGCATCAAGTTCTGGAAGCGCAGGGAAAGGTTTGCATTTTGTAGAGCTATGACTGAGCAGCACTGAGATGGCCACTGTGTTTTTTCTCTAACCTTACAAGTAGTTAACAGAAGCAAATTATGACTGTTTAGAGTCTGCCATTCCCTGACGAGAAAGCTTATTGCCTGGGAAAGCAGGGAGCATTACCAGCTGAGTATTTCAGAGAAAACTGTAGCCTCCAATAAAGATCCTAAGGGTTAGAGACAGTGTAAGTCAGCCCTCTAGGATCAGGAAGCTGTAATTAGTTCCTTTGTGCCCCTGTCATCTGCTGGGCAGACTTGGAAATTTTCTCTCCTTACCACAATTCTAAGGCATTCTTCAGGGTGTGTAAGAGGAGTACTTAAATATTATTATAGGAATTATCACAACAAATAATGCATTTGTTACAAGTGAAGTACTGTTCCGCTGAAAAACATAAGTACTTATTTTAATAGTCTGATTTTGCAGGTAGTTTTACAAATAGTATTTTTTTTCAGACACAAATTTTCATTTATTCCATTATCCCACAATAAGGAATTAGAGGAATTATGCACATGATTTCATTCCAGTTTGCCTTCCTGTGTTTAAGCCCATAATATTGTACTAATGACTTCTGTGAATTTAGGTGTTTTAAGTATTGACAGGCAACCATTTTGTTTTATTTTATAAATTACACTGCTTTATTTATTTTATAAATAAATTGCACCATTCAAGTACTGGCAGGGATAGTGCACTTTTAATATTTTTTTTTAATAAAAATGTATTTTTAATTTTTGCTCTTATACTTTTTTCACTCTATCCCTATACTTCACCAGTTCAACATTCAGTCCTTGGTACTTCATTGTAAACTGTTCCTTTATCACTACTTCTAGAAGACAGAATGTCACCAAATTGAATAAAGGAGGACAGTGCAGTGGAGGAGGAAAGAGTCTTTCTCCATTAATTTAAATGAACAAACTATTTTCTGAGGTGGAATAGGAAGTCACTTGAAGTCTTAAACCTTATTTTAACCAGATGTGGTTTATAATTATATTTGAGTTCTTTGGTTACCATGGACTGTGCTAGCAGAGCTAATACTGTTGTACATAGTAAGATGAGTAATAGCTAACATGGTATCTTAAGACCAAATTCCATCAAATCAATCCAGTTTGCCCTGTAGCAGTGTAAAAGGCTTCGTGGATGGAGGGAAAGCACTAATATCATACCTTGTCTTCAGTAAGGTTTCTGATGCTGTTCCTCACAACATCTTCATCAGCGTATTTATATACAAAATGCACAAGTCCATACCTCTTTTGAAAGCCTTCTTCAGAGAGTAAACTTCACTGGTTCTCATTCAAAATTAAAGATAGATTGAATAGAACTCATGAGTGGTTCTGCATCTGAAATTTTTGAAATTGTATTGAAAGCCTTCTGATGGAATAGATTTTACTTCTTAAGTTGGTAGATAGGCTGAGAAGGATTAGAAAATAAGATGTTAGATGTTAGAAAATAAGATGTTACGTTAGAAAATAAGATTGGTGTTTAAAGGGTTTTTTAAATAAAATTAGAGATGTAGCTTAAAAGTAATGTGTAGAGTGCTGTACTTAGGCAGGAATAATCAGCTACATAAACATCTGTGAATAACTCTCCAGCTAACACATCTGTAGAAGAGGCCATAAGAGGTATATAGTATATTTATGTAAAGAGTATTTTGTTGCAATAAAGACCACTACTGTACCAGTGTGTCGAGAAAGGAGTATTGCCCATTGACATAAGAACTAGTCTTTCTGTTTCACTTGCTATATTACATCCAGTTTGAAGTTTCCCTTTTCAAGAGAGAAAAATCAGAGTCTAGAGAAGAAATAAAACTTTAAAAGCCTAAACCCAGGAATTGTTTGGATTTCTTTAGCCTATACAAAGGAGGACTGGAAGAAAGGAGAAGAAATACCTCTTCTAACATATAAAATAGCTGTTCTAGAGAGAAGAAAGAAGTAGTACTTCTTGGTATCTATGGATGATGCACTATCTTGTCCTTAAGATAGAATGTTTCCAAGTGTGGTATTCACAATGATGGTTTCACCTTTACCTACAGGAGAGCTTGAGAAGGACTGCCAGAAACTGGAAGCTGATGTTGCCTTCACTAGCATTGTAATAATTGTAATGGATAATAGGAATGCCTGTTTCCAGCTATTTAGCAAGGAGCCATGCAGACCAAGCATGACTCAAGCTGCATTAATTTTGATGTAATACTTCAAAGATACATAATCTTTGTTCTTTTTTAGTACTCATTTTTCTTTCCTTTAAAACAGAGTGACTGGCCGGAAGGATACCACCTTGCTTCTGCCATGAATTTCCGTTTCCCACAATGCGTCCCTATAAGCCTAAAAACTCTTATCCCAAATGCAAGCAATGAAGCGATACAGCTTATGAGCGACATGCTAAACTGGAATCCAAAGAAGAGACCTACAGCAAGTCAGGTCTGAGCACATGAATAATTAAGTATAAGGCTGAATTTTCTTGCACTGTTAAAAAATTGTAGATACAGAAACCATTTGATTGTCATAATACTGGTGGCCACAGAAACATCTCCTTGCTTTGAGCACTTTGGTGGGAATGAGATTGAGTGGTAAGGAGAGAAAGTTGTAAACCTGGCTCAGCAGACACCATAAACTCTTCAGTTATTTCTGCAATGTTGTATTGGCATATTTTAAAACAGTCTCCATACAGGATAGAGAAAAAGCTTAGCCACAAGTTTCCTCAGTTGTGTTCTATAAGTCACTTCTGCTGCCTTTTTTTTCCTCCCCCATCTGTGGAAAGTGTGTTATTGAAAACTACAATTTGTTTTTTGTGAACCTGCAGATGGAATACAGTATGGAAGAGCTAAGGATCACTTTTACTTGGAGGTGGGATGTAAATTGTACGAAGTGGTGAGGAAAGAACTTTGTGAAGAACATACCAATAGGTCACAAAGGTCTCAGTTTTTCTCCAAGTTGATTTGAAGAAAACATATTTCAAGTACCAAAGATGGTTACATTCTGTGGATTTACTTTTTTTATATTCATACCTAATGTTGTCCTATTTAGAAGTATAAAAGAGGAAATTGGGAAAGAAAGGACACATTGCAAGTTGGATGTAATGTAAGTGATTCAGAAGTGGTGAAGCAGGTGGTACCAAATACAGCAACCATTTCTATCCACTTTACAAAGCACATCTATTGTACAGCCACTGAGATCTATCTGTAGTCCAGTACTGTGTATCTCTACACAAAACATGAGTTATCAAGGAAGCAGCTGCAGCAGTTGTGTCATCCACAGTCAAAAGGAAGAGTTTAATGCATATACATTGTAATGTGTAAAAGGCAGCAATTACTGAGTGCAGCTGAGTCAAAATACCTCTTCGAGAACTAATAAAAGTATGATCCTACCCAGAAGGAGTAGAATGTGCTGTTCTGACATAGAAGGAGATGTGTTACTAAAATGTGTCCATGCTCTGCATCCAATGGTGGACATGAAAAGGTCAGAGGAAAAGGATGAAATAAACATCTGCCTTAAGACAGACACTGTAGTTTCCTGATAAACACCAAGACAGGAAAGCACAGTGAATATATTTTAAAGCAGAACAAAAGCAGGAGAAGCTGGTGATAAGAAAAATGAGGGAGAAACTTTGCTCATTAACATTCTGTAATTGTAAAACCTGTACACGGCAATCATCTCACTTCTGGTTTTTTGTTGGTTTGTTTGGTTTATTTTGTGGGTTTTTTGTTTGTTTGCCTTTTCTTTGCGGGGGTTGGGGGGGGGATTGCTCGTGGGGGGTTGTTTTGTTTGGTGGTTTTCTTGTGTGGGTTTTTTTGCCTTTGTTTATTTTTGTTATTGTTGGGGTTTTTTGGTTTGTTTTTTTTAATTAAAAAACCCCAGACTGTTCCTTGAGTTGCCAAAACATAGTCAGCAGTGGAAACTTAATAAAGCATGTGATAAAGGTGATGGAGACTACTTGTTTTAAAATTGAAACTTGTCACTGCATGAATTTAGAATGGTGTTGAAAGTAAAACACACCTCACAGCACAGACTCCACAAAACCTAGCAGTAAAGGAGGGAAAGAAAGGACATGACTTCTGTAACATGTACAATTTGATCAGTCTTACTAAGTTATGATGGGAAGACTTTGAAACACAGAACTGCCAGTTATCAATGCATACTGTTTACATCTGATCTCATTATGCATCCATCTTGCATCTTTGCAGGATTTGCTTGTTTAAATGTTTCAGAAACCTGCTTAGATCTTTGCTGAGGTTACCAAAATCAACTTTTTGAAGTAAAATTAGTATGTTATATCTTCCTCTCCAGGCTTTGAAGTATCCTTACTTTCAAGTTGGCCAAATTTTAGGACCTCCTCCACAGTATCTGGAGAAGCAGACTCCTATTAAACCAGTTCAGCCTACAGAGACAAAGCCAGCTCTTCCTAAACTGGAAGCTATATCCAAGCCAGAACCTCGGTCTTCACCTGATTTGCCTGACGAAAAACAGCCAGAGCCCCTGCCAAAGGTTAACCACCAGCCTCTCCAGCAAATTCAGTTGCCTCAGAATACAGCTAACCAGCAAGTACCAAAGCAGCAGCAGCCACAGGCACAACCCTTTTTTCCAGTTATCAATAAAAATTCATCACCTGTAAGTTGTCTTTAATAACTACTTAGGTGATTTTATTAAAAGTTCTTAGTATATTTGACCAGGTGATCCCTGTAAAGTGTCCTACGTTTTATTAGAGGAAATACAAATAGATAACTAGGATATGCCAGGTCACTTATTAAAATTTTGCACCCAGTCAGAAGAAAAGATTGCCTGTAACAACGATGTGTGTTCATTTATAATAGCCCTTGCTGACATGCTTATGCAGTAATATAGTTATAACAGCTATGATTTATTGACCTTTGGGAAACAATTCACAAAAATACTGTCAGTATACAATAGAGAAGTGGAAAGGGAGAACTTCTCTTGCCTCATGCAGGAAAATACCCAAGAAGGTTTATCCAATTCCTAACCTTGCAAGAATGTAACAATTAATATTTTTTTTGCAAGATGAACAGTAAACTTTGGATTGTAATCTTCATTTTGCTTTTGGGTTGTATTCACTGAACTGCAATATAAAGCATGTTAAAAGTAAAAGGTATTCAGAAAATATTGGAAAGCAAATGGTAGTCAGATGAAAGGATAGTTTTAAAATTTAGTAATTTCATTTGAAGAGAATGTTAAAGAAAGGCCTGACAAGCTTCTTTTATTTGCTGTAATTACTTCGGGGGGCCACAGCAGTGTTCTGCACCATTGTATTCTATTTCTCAAAGGTTCATCTACCACTGTTTAGAGCATGAGTTCAGCAAGATACCAGTAGTAGAGGCTGAACACTGAACTGGATCTGCAAGTAGACTATTAACCTCACTACTTTAGGTAAACTTGGGCAATTTAAGGATGAGAGTCCAAAAGAACTATACTCAAAATACATGCTGGTGTTATTGTTACAGTTTGTACTTAAAGTCATTATGAGACTATGACCAAAACAGGCACAATATAACAAGAAAAATTCCCTCAAACTCTTTAAGCAGTAGTCAGAAAGTAAACTAGATACAAAATATAAAATTTTAGAATGGAATTAAAGCTTTTTTTTTTTTTATATTTAAAATAGAAACAAGCAGCTAGTGGCCCTCTCAATGTTGCACTAGGTCCTAAAAGCTGCAGAAGACGATGGGGTCAGACTTTGGTAAAGGCTGTGGATAGCTGGGATGACTTGGATGACCCTGAATTTGGAATGTCATGTTCAAAGAAGCCTAGCATTGCACCATTAAAAGAAAAGAAAACCAAGGAATTTATTTTTAGGTAGGTCCTACAATTAAGAAATCGTATTTTCTTTTAGCAAACAGTATCCAGTAGAATTATAGATTGATTAAGACAAGTCTTCTAAAATTTAAGTCACCAGAATTCTGCATGGAATGTCAAAAGCTGTATGAGCAGACCAGCTTTGGGTGTGATGTTGATATGGTGCTAGTAGTATCCCAACAAAATGAAATTTGCTTTCAGGCACTACATGGTTTGGGTGTTTCTTGTGTTATTAAGAAACTGCCTGTCTTACTAAAATCAGACATACCAACATAATTTCCTTTGTCAGTTAAGTGATATTATGTTCTGCCAGTTATCCCCATTTGTAGTGTTGGATACACTTATTTCTCATGAGGTATTAGATCTGGCTGTTACTCCTTGGAAATAGACTCTGCTGACGAAAGTGGGATAACTGAAGGGCACCATATTCTTCAGGCTAAGGTCAGCTTGTGGTATTCTGAGCTGGAGGAGTTGGTCACATTGTTTGAAATTTTTGATTTTTCAGTGTGCCAGAACCAAAGGCTTCATGCTGTATCCAGCCAGGAGGGGAAAATAAGGTTCTGATGAGAAATGATTCTGGAAGATCAAATACATCAGCAAAACAGTACTATCTAAAACAATCAAGATATCTACCTGGTAAGGTTAAAAGTCAATACATACAGAAAATACAAGGTGGGCACAATCTACATACAGTACATTTAAACTTTAGATTTCTCACTGGATAATTTTACTATTCATAATCAGGCTAAATTTTCAAGCTTTGGACTAAATGCCTTTCCCAGAACATATCACAATTGATGCAGAAGTTCATGGCTATGTAAACATGGCAGGAGCTCAACACTGCTTGTACACCATAAAAGTTCACAGGACCTCTTATGACCAGTAACATATAAAATCCTCAGTAATATAAATCCAACGTCTCTGGGATTATTAGGAATATATCCTAATTGGTCTATAAGTAAGTGTGTCTGAGGGCTGAAGAAACTACATATATTCTCTTCATCAGGAACCACAGTGATAGGACAAAGAGTAATGGGTTCAAACTGAAAGAGGGGAAATGTAGATATATAGAAGAAATTTTTTACTGTGACGGTGGTGTGGCACTGGAACAGGTTACCCAGAGAAGTTGTGGATGCCCCATCCTTGGCAGTGTTCCAGGCCGGGCTGGATGGGGCTCTGAGCAACCTGATCTAGTGGAAGGTGTCTCTGCCCATGGCAGGGGTGTTGGAATTAGAAGATCTTTAAGGTTCCTTGCAACCCAAACCATTCTATGATTTTTTATATATATATATATATATAAAATGCATATTTACCAGTTTTGCAGTGTCAGGAGGTTGGAGGTCTTTTTGAACATAAATTCACAGTTTGCCTTCTTTGTAGGAAGTGTTTGGAAACCATTGGCACTGCTAGGAATTCACACATTCACTTCCCATCACCAGGTATCTTTTAAAATAGATACCTTAGTCTAAATCTGTGTGGTTTTATCAGGAAAATAACATGAAATTATGTAACTGCTAGAAATGAGAATGGAAAGGAGGGGAAAGCAAAGAGTAGAATACTTCAAGAAGTATTCTAAATATATACTATAATTGAATTATTTTCTTGGTGTCACTTTGTATCATTTATTTGTTACCATGATGGTCTATACAATTGAAATAAGCATATCATGACGTCTGCCGTAATCCACATGTGAGAATTTAGGTGGCTCACAAAGGAATTCCTGATTGTCAGGCAAGTTGTTTTGTTACAACATATCATTAATTTGTCAGGAATTAATTAGGGCAATGATGACTTCTGAATATGAAATCACTTCCTGAATGTTAAATAGGATGCCCAGAGACTCAACAGTTTAAGTACAAAAGAAAAGAAAAAGAAAAATATAAAGGGTGAAGAGCTTCCCTTTCTAAAGGTAACACAAATGGAAGGTTCATCTATATTTCTTATCTTCTTTTAAGCATGATTCTAGTGTCTCTCTGGTTTTCAGTTAGAAAGGCAGAGATGTAAAAATAATGAATTCCAAGATTTAAGGGAATAATAGCTCCGAGGAGCATATTTGTTATTTATAAATATTACTTTAGTTCTGTAACCAGCAGATCTGGGAGCTGTTTTCGTGCAGTGTAATCCCATTAACTCTTGTAATACTCCTAACATGTGAAGTAACAACAACCTCTATGTCCTACTTTTTAACTTAACCCTTAAAGAAATAGTTTATTTTCAGTCTTGAGAACCCTAGTTTTTGATAGGTATTTTTAATTTGTGTTGATTTTTTGATAGACAAAAATATCAGTACTGTGATTATGGTTTTATAGAAACCAAGTAACTGTACTAAAAAGACTGTTAAAAGTTCTCTTGAAAGCATGAAGAGAATTTTTCGTAAATCAGTGTCACTAGTTTTCTTGGCTTAGCTTAAAAACCTAACCTAATCAATGGACATTGTCAATTTACATTAATGGTGTTCACATTACAGCACAAATAATTCAGTGTTGGTTCACTGTTCCAAAAATGTCCATTTTTCTTGGGTTGCATTATGCATGAAAATTGATATTTATAACATTATTTATCATTTGTTTTCTAAGGTGTAAACCCGAAGAGTGTCTCTTTAGCAGCAGTCAACAGAGAAGGATCACAAGGAACCTGGAACAACCAGTTATTTTCTAAATCACTAGCACATGCTGGAGGAGGATTGACTTTCAGCAGAAATACTACAGGTAAAAGTGTAATTGAAAATGGTCACATTATACCTCATCATACTATATTTAATTAATTTAGTTAAGACCATCTGGTTTAACTTCTGTGGTCAACCTTAGCTTCTAGGTTCTTTTTTTCCTCATTTTAACAAATGACTCTTCACATAACTTTTTCATACATAAAACTATGTATTTTGCTTTCAGAACATTAAGAAGGTATAGGCCAGCCACTCTTTATAAAGTTTTGTCAAGATAAATTTTGTCCATAATCCTCTTAGACCATAGGTACTGTATTTAAGCAAATAGTTTGACCTCATTACTGCCTGCTCAGTGTGCCATGGAACATTAGCAAACAGCAGTGACCCTTGTGAAAATAAAATGGTGAGTGGCATGCTCATGTAATAAAGTGCTGCCTATTATTCTAAACATGTCTTTTATCAGTTTCCTAGCCTTGTCCTAAATACTGTGCTGCAGGAAAAGTCCCCTTATTTTCAGGAGCTTTCAGGGAACTTTATTTTGGTAGTATGTTTTGTGAAGTACACTGTTAGTGAAGACTAAGGCTAGCTAAACACCTAATCACAGATTTCACTGAGGAAGGCACCAGGCTCCAGACTAAAATCAACCTTCTCACCACCAAGCTCTATACCTGAAGTACATTGTTCTGTCAACCTCTTATGGGAGGTTACCTTGTCAACAGCTCTGCAGCCATTGTCCAGCTAGGATAAATAATTCTCAAATACTTTAATGCAAATAAACCACCCAACTTTACATGCTTGTGCAGATGGAACTTCAGAAGGTTTATGTGCAGATGCTGCATCACTTTTTAACAGAACTTTAGTAGCCATTCTGCAGTGTCAATAAACCTCATTTTCCCTTCTGAAAGTCAGATGACCTGAAATTGGTCATCTGAATTAATGTGCAGGATTTCAGAAAGTGGAAAAATAACAGCACCTACCAGAATTTTTGACTGAATAGAAGAGGGTTTTTAAAGTAATCATATGTACCTTTTTGTTTTCTGAAATATAATATTCAGCTGCCTCAGAATTAATTAACATACTCATAAAATAATCTTGCAAGGGAATCAGGCACAAAAAGGCAAAGAGCTGCTTCCAAAAGTATGCATCAATAAGCTAGACATCTACCTACTGAACTGCACTGAAAATAAAATTAAGATGAATCCTAATGGTAGATATCCTGCTTTTGTCTTAATACCAAAAATTTAAAGCAAAAAAACCCTAAAACTCATAATTTGTTATGTTTGAAAATAGCTGGTATCATTTCCATCAGTAGCTTAAATTACGTATGATGTTTCGTATACTGGGGAGACAGAAACATTTAAGACACACACACATGAAACCAGGATAGCTGGATCATGGAAATACAACACATGTAAATTATGTATGTTTCTTTTTTCATATTGACAAACTGAAAGTTGACACTGTGCTGTGTTTAAATAACTATGTATAGTTTGTTTAGGTACTCTTTTTTTTTTTTTTGATTTTTTTTCTTTTTTTCATCATCCACAACATTGCTCTGAGGTAAAAGAAGATAAAAGCAAATAGTTATAAATGCTTTAATTATGAAGAATTGTACGTTTATGATCAGTCAACTTTACGGATATGACCAAGTGATTACACTTGTGATTTATGGATTTGTGTGACTGAGATGTAATTTCACTGATAGTACATCATATTTTTATTCCATTATTAGAAAGGACCTTGTAAAGTAATTTGTTAGAGTAACAATTCCTGCTTAAGAAAACAAGAATGAGACATTATAGTTACATCAGATATTCATTCTTGCTTGCTTTTTTCCCCCATCAGTTCTTTTACATCACCTAAACAGGTTCTTCTTACCCTTTTTCTAAAGTTCTGTCTTTCCATCTTTTTCTTCCTTTCGTTTTCCTTACCTACAGATGAGAACTTAATTATACCCATTGAAAAGCTATCATGCAAAGAAAGGTTTAATGAAAAATTAGAAGATCCAAAAGGTAATTTATAGCAATTGTAGCCTAGTTCTTTGTACATTTCTTATTTATGTTTTACAGTTTCTTGTAAAATAAGTACGTTTAAAATACATGTTCCTGATGATCATATACTTCCATTTGCAGTTGTAATCTGTTTTGTCAAACCTTGCTCTCTTCATTGTGACTTCTGGATTCTTGGCACTTACTGTGCCTTAAAAGGCAGAGAGTATTTTATTACCCTAATTATGATCCACAGCAGGTCACTGCCCTGTTGCTGGATAATGGTGAAGAAGTGATCCTAAAGCAGCACATGCATCTCTCCTGAAGGACTGCTTGTTCATAAAAGCACTTGGGACTTGCACCATTTCCTGCATTCAGATTCTCTACCTGATTCTTACTCTGATTTTACAGTGCTGTGGTTGAACAGATTTTGGTGGAGTTACCTTAATGTACAAGGGTGGAAATCCAGGATTCCAGGCAGCCTAGTTTGTGTCTAAATTCACTGCTGGCTAAAGCATTGCAAATGCTGGAATGTTTCACCTTTCCTCCCGTTCTGCCGCCTCTGGTGTGTACTGCCCATGCGACACATCTCATTGCAACTACTTGTAGGGTTTTTTCAACTCACTACCCACCTCAAACAATTCAGTGACCTTTCTGAAGAATCAAGTAAGTGTTGTTTGAGAGGGGGGTATGGCCTTGCCCACCCTTACACTTGTGGATATCGTGGCAGTGAGTGCTTGCCTATAGACCAGCTGCCAGACCTCCTGGATGCCTGACGGATGACTACTTCTCTAGCAAGAACCCCTTCTTTTGTATGGCAGTAGTCAGAGGTAAGGAACTGTGCTTTTAAATAGGATGTTTTTAAATTTGTAGCTATTCTGCTATTTTATATTGAACTTTTTTTCTCCTGCTTCCCTTGTTCTCATCCAACAAAAGATCACCCTTCCAGACCTGTTTCATCCAGACTGTTTATCCTGGCTGCAATTTTTCACTTCCTGCGGAAGAATTCCTAAAGGACATTGGACATCAAGAGGTAAGGAGAAGGAAAAAAATGGTTGAGCAATTTTGGACAATTAAGCAGGTTTGCCAAGCTGTAGAAAAGCAGCAGATAGAAGTAGTATTTTCGAGGTTGTATTAATTGAGGCCTCTTTATTTATTATTATTTATTATTTATTTATTATAATTTATTTATTATATATATACACATGCACAGTTTTTTACTCCCAATAGTTAGGAACTGGGGAATAAGAGCATGTGTCTGTATATGTCCACAAACAGGTGAATGAACCACTAAAACTGTGTTGTTTTGGTTTTCAGGCAAATTCCTGAAAAGGAAGAACAACTCAGACTCTACAAGAAAGTTAAATTTTATTGGAATACTTCATTAAAGTTTTTTTTTCACCAGCTGTATTGATGCGTCATTCTTTACTGTGGAAACTGGCATCGAGTGGACAGAGGAAAGCTACATGGAGACCCAACTATTTGGAGAGCAGTGCAGTGACAGTTTGAGGAGCCTGGCAAAACTGAGTTAGCTGAATGCTTGTTGTTAGTGCTCCTGAACAGGGAGGTTTGCAACAACCCAGTGCAGCTGTAATTAGCTGAGGGTACCTTTTTTGAGTTGTAGATGACTACTTCTGCAGCTTATAGATCCACTGCTCTGAACTCTGAAATAATCAGAGTGTTTGTGTGAAGAGGAACATTATGAGATTGCACAAAGGCCAGTGATTTAGGAGACAAAAACTGTCAAAGCAGATACTGCATGTTTAGTGCAACTACCACTGAAACTGTGATGAATATGCTCATATGTAATAAAGGTTAAAATAAACTACTATGTATGGCCTTGTACTTCACAAATTTAATACTACTGAACACAGAACCATGCCACTAGAGAAAAGCATTTCTCTCCGGACATTGTGCCAGCACAGTCTTAACACTGTCCCAAGTGATGAACACACACGAGGAAGGTAAGAAATTTTCTTGGAGCCGGGAATCTATGCATTGTAACAGATCCCTCTGCCACTGGACACTAATTTCAGTACTAATTTTGTGTGTACATGCACGATGCTTCTCAGTTTTCAGATGAGGATGGTTATGTCAACCTTTCCATGGTAGTACTGCTTTAAAGAAAGATCTGAACCAAAACTAGGCATAATATTATAACCAGGGTGAAAGAAAGAGGGTAGTTGGGTCTGACCTTTATAGTAGGCCTTTAGCTGGGAAACTGGCAGTCAACTTCAAGTGGTGCACCACTTCCCACAGGAAAATCTGGGTTTCCATTCTTTTAGATAGATTTAGGCCAAACATGTTGAGCATAAGATAAGGGTAAGGGCTGAGTGCTAGTTTTCCAACAGCTTAAACCAGCTTCCAGTAAAGCAAGTAGATGTAAGCAAAAGGTAAGATCCTATCTATCTTTCTCTAAAACTCTGTGTAAACCTTTCTATATGGTCTTAAGTTTAATGAAAGTACTAATGAAATATTCACCCTTCTCTGTTGTCTTTATTTCTGCTGATCTCCAGCTTGCAAGTCTGCTAAGTGCTGTAAAGGGTATAATTAATATACAAAGAAAAGAATGAATATATACCTTTTTTCAAGAGATGAGCACGAGGGAATACTCTTGGGGTACCGCAAATATATTTTGAAATGACTGTAAAAAGTAGGCAAGGTTTTCTGAATGCAACTGAATATTCTAAAATTCTGTAATGTCAACAGGAAATCCTGGCTTTGTAAGTAGTGCTGCTTACAACCCATCAGGAATATACACCCCCTCCTTCTATAAAAAAGAAGTTGGATCAGCTGGACAACGGATACAGCTAGCACCTCTTGGTGCATCTGTATCAGGTAAGAAATATCCTTTTACCATATATAACCAAGACATCGGTTCGAAAGAGATTAGCCCTTAGTAAGGTTTTCCTCAAGTTTATAAATGAAACTGTAGGGCATAAATTTTTCTTAACATAAGTGAACTGACTGTAGGTGCCTAGAGGCAGTCCTGATAGCTAGAGAAACTATTGCTACTAATATTTGTTAGGTAAAAAAAGAAAATAATTACAAAAGTTGCAAACCTTTTATAATTTTAGACAGTTTGGACCGTTTGCTAAACTATGACTCATTAGTGGTGATGGACTAAACAGAACTGTAAAAATATGTAACTTCACAACTCTTTAGTAAATGGTCATGTAGACTGGACTCCATTCATCTGGTAAAAACAACGTGAAGTCTGTTCAAAATGAAACTGTTACCCTGGATCCTCTACAGTATGGATGACATTCTGAGCACCTTCTTTGTTAGTATGTTCCCAATTCAGAGAAGACGAACAGAAGTGCTCAGGATGCAGGGGAAACTGGTTTGTGAGTGAAGATTTAGACCCGTGGTCCAAACCCAGCAGCACACTTCTCTAGTTACTTCAGAGCAAACAGCAAGGCCCTCAACTAATGGTAAATTGTTTAACCAAAGGGCGTATGGCACACCAATATGATATGGTCCTGTTTAATAATGTCTTTTTGCTGATGTGCTCTTTTGAGTTACCTGTTCTCCTTGGGAATTCGCAAGTAACTTCTGAGAAGCAGAGAGGGAGGGAAGGAAGGAGATGGAATGCATATACAAAATATGCTTAGATGTGTATGTATTCTGTGTCTGAGATCATCAGAAGCCCACCAGAGAAGGCTGGAGCTGCAGTTCATTATCTTATCAACTCACTGCTGGAACACAACTGCGAGAGTTTTGATTTGTCACAGTGTGTGGATCAAGAAGTTCACAGAAGGACAAAATCTGCAACTATCTCTAGACTGCTGCGAATAGTGTGAAAGAGAAGGAATTAGATATGGTGTTCCAAAGGGACATAAATTCACTGTTAATCTGTAATTAGAAATGGAAAATGTGTAGTAAAAGTCAGAAAGGCTGGCAGATGGAGGTCAATTAAGAGACTCTTCCATGTCCTGGAAAAGAGCAAGAATCCTATTGCTTTAAACCCCTCATATTTAGCCTAAACTCTGCAGACTTGCATGGGAAGAGAGATAAGGATGAAGCAAATGGCAGGTTTTATCTCCTGGCTGTCAGTATTTGAAGGTTAACATTTTTGGTGACCCTTTGCTTTGTATTATCCAAACTGAAATAAGTCATGCTTTCAATTGTATTTCTCTCTTAATTTGTTAAGTTTTTTAATGCCATGATTTAAATAATTTAACATAGTACAAAGGATCAGTTTCTCTGTGGAAAATGCCAAGACCCAGGAAAAGTGGCCTTCATTGCCAAGCTACTGTAGGCTGGAATCATACTTGCTGACCAAAGATAGGGAATGCCAGCCTAGAATAAAAAGGAACAGTATTAGTTTTTATAGAAGTGGAGACCTGATCCCCAGTTTCAGTTCCTTGATGTTCCTCCTTTTTAAATGCCTTGCTTCTCGCCTGTTCTTTAATGGGTTCAATCCACTATTTCTCTAAGAAACAGAATGATACATAGGCACCAAAGAACCATTAAATTTAAATGTGAATATTTTTTAAAGAGTATAACTAATACATAATAAAAGAAGACTAAACCACAAATGTAGGAATGGAAGGGGCAGGATCTACTTTGGGAATGCTAAGGTATAGCAGGAGTCTGAATAAGAGAAGTCCCAAATGACTGCCATTAAAGAATTGGGAAAATGGCAGAATTGGTCATGACCATGAAGAAACATCAGCCTGTGCAGCAGCACAATTACTTTAGTCACATGAAGCTTGAGGAAGTGCCAACTACCTGAAATGCAAAAAGGGAAAATCTGAGTAGGAAGGCCAGGAATACAGTAATGCACTACTGCTAGTGCTTGAGATCAGGTGGATGCCAATATTAAGGAATAAAAAAAACCTTCAGACTTGGAATAGATCCTATAAGATCAATGGAGAAATGGGAAACAGAGCAAAGAGGACTTGTCACCAGGTAAACCAGGAGTTCTGAGCTGAGCAGGAGGGGAATAAAAGGCATAAAATCTCAAAAGGAACAAGAAGGTCTCCAAAAGCTGTCCTTCAGTCTAAGCTGTTTGGGTCTTAATAAGTTTATCAATGTTATAATTACACACTTTTTAAAATATTTGAGATAGAGGAAAGAACACAGTCATTCTGTAGCAGTTTTGTAATAGGAGATACAGAATTGTAGGTATATGCATCAGTTTTTCTACTGAAAAACTTCAGTCTCAGTGTTTTCTCGAGGGATTGCTGCAAAGCAAGTATCCAGTAGGTGAGGATTAATAAGACACACAAACTAGAGGAAACATGCACCTTATCTGAAAACAAGCATAGACAGCATGCTCTCAGGCACGTAGTGGGATTCTTGCAGTTGTCCTATGCAGGATCAGGAGTTGGACTTGATGATCCTTTTGGGTCTCTTACAACTCAGGATATTTTATGACATGTAGGAGACCAAGGCACCCTGCTACATTGGTATCCTTGAGTACCGTAAGTCATCTTTAACCTCTCATTCTTTTCTCTGTAAAGAGAAAAGTCATCATTAATTCTGAGTTCTTGTTCCTTTCAGAGTTTTCTTGGAAAACCAAAGCTGCTCGTGCTCCATTACCAGGTCCTACCTTCAATTCACCAGCAAAAAACATGAGTATCTTAACTTACCCGCCAACAATTCAGCGAGTACATGGAAGAACAGACTGGGTGGCCAAATACGGAGGAAACAGATAGAAAATGTCATCCTGCACAGATACTACATGCGCTGTGTTCGGTTCTCCTGCACTTGGAAACCTGAAATGCCTATTTGCTCTAACTTTTCTTAAGACTATGCAATAGTAAAGAAGAAAAAAAGACCTTGTGTTCTATTACCTGTCATAGTACACGTATAATATCATGTAAAATACTGGCTATAAAGTAGGATGTAATGAAGTATTGTATAACACATATTGCCAAAACTACTAGAAGTAGATTTCATTTGACATTTTTCTACAGATGATCTCCTATTCCTGTCCTCTTAAAAACAACTGTTATGGTTGTTCATCCAGTGCAACATCCACTGTTGGGATATGCTTGAAGCACACAAGCAGCTAGAGGTAGGGCTGAAGCAGAGCAGCACCAGGCTTCCAGGTGTTAGGCTGGTTCCTTAGCAGGAAGATGAGAGTGAAAGCACAGCTCCAGCTTTGTGAAGAATACCAAACTCTCCTACAAGGATTTCAGAACTCACTTGTAACTAAGAGTTACTCAGGGTCTGTAAGGTGCAAATATTCATGTAGCAATGAGATCTTAAATCCTTGTAAATCCACTTATAGATACTACACAAAAAAAGTCTAAAAACTTGGCTGATATATGGCTGTAAAAAGATGTAGCAATATTGGAAAATAGCTAAACAAGTACTGAATGCTAGACTCAAGCAGTGAAGTGAAGCCTAACAATTAGATTCTGCTGTTATAATTAACTTAATGCCATTTTTTAATCAAAGGCCTGTAGAGATTTTCCTCTGTCCTGTCAAGGGAGTGTCACAGTGACCTTTTAAGGAGCCTGAATCACTGCAGTCTATCAGTTATTTTAAGGGTGAATTTGCCAAAAATGCATAAGTTATCAAAAAAACTCCTGTTTCTATATATCGTTCATTGGGTGATCAGACTTAAACTACAGAAGTTGAATAAGCTACATGAGGGACGATATTGGGCTGTTCTTCAAAAATATTGTTTTCTAGTTTAGATCTTAAAGGCCAACTTAGGTACCTAAAAACACACATAAACTTCAATAATTCAGTGTGTCGCTGTTTATATGCTCATTCAGTACTTTCCCCAGCTTTTATGATAAGTTTTATAATAATATCATGCAAAGGACTTTGCAATGTACAATAAACTGCTTTTTTTAGGATGTTGAACTAGGTTACTTCTGTTAACAACTGCATTTAGAATAGATGCTTTAGACTTAATAGTTACATTAAGCTTGCCCTTTTAAAGTATAAACAGAGTATGTTCTTTAAAGATGTAAAGCTGTTAATGATTACTTTAAGCATTGTAAAAAAAGAAATGTATTTGTAGGCTTTTATAATGGATATTAAAATTTAAATTCCTGTTGTTGACCCAATCTTTCATAATATATATGTTACATTAATTTCCTGGAAAGCAATTTAATCTAAAGCAGTTTTACCAAAAAGTCAAATATTTTGTTATAAAAACTGCACCTAAAGGAAATGCCACTTTAATACTGTAAGAGCTATACAGGGATAGGGATATATGGTTAGTAATGCACTAGAGAGTTTAATTCAATTGCCATTGGTCTAGGATTAAGTATTTGTCATTCCCTTAGTACTAACAGATGTTCCTATGCTACTTAAATGTGTCTTAACCTATTTGTAGAATATATCTGTAACTTGCCATGGCAATGAAGGACAACCTCAGACTCTTTGTAACAGGCATTAAAGCAATGGTTTTATAATTAAAAAACAAGATAAATTAATCACTTGTCTCTAGTACAAGATGCCAATGAATTAGTTACAATCACAGCCTGGTCAAGGAATTAACTAGTAATGCATCCAAAGCTCACATGTCCCTAAGTCACCTAGAGCAGAAACATAAACAGGTACTATTTCTAGCACTAAATAGGGCTAGAAGAAACATGCTGTTGTTACTATATGCTAATGAACCTTGAAAGGGCTTTGACATAACTAAAACAGCCTTTACTTGTTCATGATCAAAGCATGACCAGTGTTAAGAAATTCTTCTTGCAAACAGCAAGAAAAGACTAATGAGTTTCATACAATCATTTTAATTATAATTCATTGATACACATTGGATGGTTAGTGCAAAAATGCCATCTAATGCTTTAAAAATTTAGTATGCTGAAAAAGTTTCAAGGGGGTAAAGAGTATGTAAGACTAAAGCTTTTCTCTTGTCCCTTTGTCTATATTACTGCTGTTTCTCCTAAACATGAAAAGTGGTAATGAATTCTACCAGCAGTTCTCAATTTAAGCTACTGCTTTCCAAAGCTCATGAACAGCAGCTTTACACTTTGGTCTAAGAGTTTAAAAGCTTATCAAGTCCAATTCCCTGCTTTATATTTTCTTTATTCCATCAGAGACAACTGCAGCTCAGATTTGCAAGTTACCTGATTTGCGACCAGCATTATACAATTAGAAAACTGTTTGATCATGGATGTTCTCAGTTTATTGCAGGAGATGCATTTATGTTTGCATCTTACCTCTACAGAAGAAAACTGATTCAATAGCAATAAGAAGAGGCAAAAAACCTATGAAGTAGTTTAAAGAGAAGAGTCTTAAATACTAATGCCTGGCTTACTAACTTTTTCAAATTAGAGCAAAGACACAAAGACACTAAGACACATCTTCTGTCCAGCACACCCCTTGTTTCTATGCAGGGAGGCAAGAGGGAAATGTAAATACAGGTGAACACACCTGATGCTGAACTCTGCAGGATGATGAATAAGGGTTTTAAGAAGATGCTGTGAGTACAATTCCCCCTCAAGATCTCACTGCCTGTGCTCAAGCCAGCTCTGACCCAAGCTGTTTGGCCTGGGAAAAGGCTACTGATACCCTTGCTGGAGCTGTGCCCCATTCCTGGCCGTGTCTCTGAGGATCTGGAACCCAATCTGATCGACCTGGCATCCTGGCTTGACCTTGGCCTTGCTTCATCATTGTGAGTTGCCTGGCAAACCACTGCACTGCTGGCAGAGCCTGGCTATGGCGACTGGCCCAGCTCTGCACCTCCTGCTCAGGCAGCACAAGGTCACCGACCTGCCTGTTCTGCTGCAGCAAGGAAGGAGGGAAGGAAAACCTGCAACCTGTGACCCTCCTCCAAAATTACTAGCCTGATACTTTAGAGAATTCTAAGCAACTCCAGGGTCTCACTATCTAATGGATCAACCCTGCTGCTTCCATCTCTCTCAGTACCAAAGGCATCAAAGAAAGGTTGAGGAAATAAAGCTCAGGATCTGTACAGAAAGGGATATAAGTTAAATGAAAACAGAAAAGGGATACATTATCAACCATGTGTAGCTTCCAGGATTATTCCTCTACAGCAGGTTTATATTTGGAACAATTTCAGGCATCAGGGGAATCAACTGAGGGCAAAGACTGATCAAACGAACCCTTCAGTCTTCAAAGAAACTTTCATACAGCATTTTCTAAATCTAAAATAGATGATTCCCTCAGGAAACAAACCCAAACAAACTTTAATACAATACTTGTCTGAATATTTGATCTGTATGCTTTTGTTCTCTACACCTCCTCCCAGTTCAGATTTTTATATTTACAAGTTAATAAATTCAGGGAATAGAATAGAAATTATATATACAATTCATGTTTGCAAATATATCCAGACACCCTGCAGGAAAGAGACCAAACTATCAATCCAGATGAATGACTAAAGACAAAAAAAAGTTTTGTAGAACACAAAGGTTTGTAATAATGTTAGTTTATTTAAAATAACATTTTAATAAAGCTATGCCTGCAATTTAGCATAAATTGCCTAATACAGCATATTTTTTATTTAGGAATAATAATCTGTAAAAGTGAAATGAATTACATATAGCTGGGCACTTTTGCTTACAAGTAATTGCAAGGAATGGGTCTGCATTCATTGCATTACAGTAAAACCTCAACAGCCTTTCCGTGATTATGTTTTGTGGGACCAGCTTCTGACACACAGTGCTGGGAGAACAAAGCTCCTGACTGACAAGCATTGTGACCAGATAAACTGACCAGGAAAGGGAGATGTAACGTAATCAGCACGTTTATTATATTAATTACTAGTGATAGACTGGCAACACCTCTCCCTTTGTTTTAGAGGCATATGTGACTTTAGAAGGACAAACCAAGATGTACATTTAAGCTTCAATCCCACAACTGTCTTCATACAAGGGCCAAGAGGTCTTTGCCTACAGTAAGCTGCAGGATCAGAAGCTGAACTAATGCTATAGTCGTATTTTCTTGCTTCACAGTGCAGAAAATGTTAAGACAAATACCATTTGGGAAGACATAACAAGGGCCCTCTGTGTCAGTCCTTTAAAAACACAACCCATGTGCGTTAGGATATGAAAAATACAGTGCTAAGGTAGCAGCGTCTTTTCCACTTTTGTGCAGCACATATAAGCAGTTGCAGCTTCAGGCTTCTCAATCACATATCTTCAAGTGACTTGATGCAGATTTATGGCTTAAGAGGCTTTTCCATCATCTGCAATCCAAGCCGTCCAACCATCAGTAAACTGTTGAACAGAATAGTTGTTATAAAAAGAGGAGAAGGAAGGCAAAAATCCCATAAAGAACAAGAAGAAAGAAAATACTGCCATGATTTCATTTAGCTGAACTCCACCAGAAGATTTTGTTTTTTTCACAGAACTCACCATGTAACATTTTTAAAACAAATATAATCCACAAGTAAGTTAAATAAAATGCACATTTGATAATACAGACAAGAGCAAAAGAGAGGTGATTACCTGGCACCGGCAATTATCCCAGGCATTGCTTTTTTGGTGTTGTAAAACCTCATTCCCATAACAGTAGACAAGGTTCCAGATGCCACTGTTGAAAAGAAGCCCAGTCAGAGCCATTTGGCACATAAGTGCAACACTGCCACACGTGGACACTGAGCAGTGCCGACCACAGACCTATGTGTACAGACAGGAATGCCTCCCCCATATGCAAGCAAACAATTTTCTTAAACAGTAAAGCTGCTGTCACAAACGTCTCAGCAACTCTGGTAAGCGTGCTCCACTGCTCAGGAGAAGCGACGAGGTCTCATCAGGATAAAGACCACTGTCTGATTGCTCACAACTTTCAGTCCTCTGGAGAGATCACTGACTCTCCCTCAATTACTCCTTATACGCAGAAGGATTATTTCCTTGAACGCAGGCAGGCTCGGAACTGCTAGAAAGCTGGGACGGTGACAGAGTTCACTATGGGGGAGGCAAATATATTACAGTCCCCATTTCTCTGTGACATTCTGAACTAGAAGGTGGCAATAAATATTACAACTGGAAGGAAAACAACCCCACTTGCAAATACAAATTAGAGAGAAATCTAAAGAAACAAACTGAAAGAGAGATTGCGCTCTTAAACATTACTCTAAAATATTTAATCTCTAAATCTGGAAAAGGAATCCCATCAACATGCACATAAAATTTACAGGGACACTGTTTCTTTGAAGAACAAAGGCAGGTGGAGGTGCTGTACACCTTTCTCCAAAGCCTCAAGTTTGTTTGCATCAGACAGGGCAAAAGGTATTCTAGAGACACTCTGTCAAGGTTCTATTTCTGGATTCCTACCCATGATGTACTGTGACCAACCTAAAGCTCTGCAGGAGCCGCAGCTGCACATCGTAAGCAGGGCTAAGGAATAATGAAAGTTGTACTAGATCATGACACACCACCGCTTTCAACAGCTCCTTTTGAGGGCACTTACATGCACCACATCAGGATATACAGAAGCTGCTCATCCTTCTTCCATAACACTAACTAAAAACTTGTGCCAGAGATGCACAGCCATGCACAGCCACTCCTGTGTCACACCAGAGACAGTTCACAAATGGAAATTTTGCTTCATATTGACCTGCATTTTACATTTCATTCCTTACTGATGAAGCAGTTTGGTTGTCTGCTGTATCTCCCAGTGGCTTCATAGAGCCTTTCAGTACATTAGTCCTATTGGGCTAAAACAGCCTTAAATCACTGTAAACCTATAGTATCATAACACTACTAACACTATGGAGTAGTTACAGAACTAGAGGACACCTCGAGAGGTTATCTAGGATACCCTAGTGCCCAAAGGCAAGATCAATTCCCGATAGCGCTTTAACACGGTATTACAGTCCTGCAGCAGTGGAATTCCCTGAGGTTCACCTATTGTTTCAGTGCTTCATAACACTTTGCACAGTCATTTCATCCTTCTCCTTCACCTGCAAGATATGCCCACAGCTCCTTGTACATTCTACTGTAAGCAAGCAGAATAGACCATTGCACCCTTCCTTTTACATGCACTGTTTCCTCCACAGTGTATGATGCATTGAAATATATACTGGTCTTCTGACATGCTTGTGCAAACCAAGATTCCATAAGGCCGCATACCACTTGTCACAGTGCTGTCACTATTGCAAAAACAGTGCTTATTCCATGACCGCAGGCTAAAAATGCTGCTTCACAACCGAACATTTCCTAGTTAACCGAACATAACCCTAGTTAACTCAGTATCTAATCTGGCAGCGGAGACAGGTATTTCTCACCAACTCTGGCTTCAAGCAGGACAACCCACGGTTTAGAACCAGGTACTGTGCTCGTACACAAATAGAGCCAGGAGGTCCTGTCCTCCCACCACTTACATTTGTACAGATAAATGGGCACAGGTCAGCTGAAACACTCCAGGAAAAAAAAAAAAAAAAAAAAAGGGTTACTATTCCCACCGCAACCAGTAACTCTCAGTACTCGGCTGCCGAGCAAACTTACCGAGGGAAAGCCACACATTTTTTGGATCTTTGGACTGCTGGTAAGCGCCTAGTCCTGCTAAGCCGCCAAACAGAAGACCAGCAGCTAGCGAAGGGACGCTGCCTTGAATAGAAATAAACACAGATCAGTCAGTGAAAGAACACACGCAAAGTCAGTCTGCACACCCAAGAAAGGCACCCGCGGGCTCCCGTTATTTGTAAATCCACAAACAAAACCAGCCTAAACAGAGGACACTGCACTGGGCTGGGGTTTTCTTTAAAGATTCTCTGCAGGCCGCAGAGAGCACCTTGTTTCGGTGGCAGCAAGGACTGCAGCGGGGTTTGCGGGGTCACTGCCGGCAGCCGGGCGGGGACCTGCACGGCTGAGCGCCCCCGCAGCCCCGGCGGACGCGGGCCTGCCCGGCACGGCCCCGGCCCCGGCCCCGCACCCACCTGCCTTGGCGTAGCCGACGACGCCGCCCGCCGCCACCAGCGCCGCGTAGCCGAAGCCCAGCC